CAATAATTACCTTAAATGTAAATGGCTTAAATGCTTCAATCAAAAGACATAAGGTAGCTGATTAGGTAAGAAAACATGAGCCATGTATATGCTGTCTACATGAGACCTACCTCATAACAAAAGACTCACAAAGGATGAAAGTGAAGGGATAGAAAAAAAATTTCCAAGCAAATGAAAATGGAAAAAAAGCAGATGTAGCAATACTCATATCTGACAAGATAGACTTCAAAACAAGGGCCATAATAAGAGACAGAGAAGGTCACTACATAATATTAAAAGGATCAATCCAACAAGAGGATATAACCCTGGTAAACATATATGCACCAAATATGGGAGTACCAAAATATATTTAACAACTTCTGGATGACTTCAAGGGAGAGATCAATAGCAATACAATCATAGTGGATGACTTTACATGCCACTGACACCACTGGAAAGATCTTCTAGACTAAAAATTAACAAGGACATAGTGTCCTTACAAGACAAACTAGATCTGTGGGACTTCATTGATATTTACAAAACATTTTAACCCAGAGCTGCAGAATATACATTCTTATCAGGTGCACATGGGTCATTTTGAAAGACAGACCACATGTTAGGACACAAAACAAGTATCTACAAATTCAAGAAAACTGAAATCATATCAAGCATCTTCTCAGATCACAGTGACATGAAACTAGAACTCAATTACAATAAAAACACACAAAAACATTCAAATACTGGAAGGTTAAATATCATGTTATTAAACAATGAATGGGTTACTAATGAGATTAAGGAAGAAATTAAAAACTTCCTGGACACCAATGAAAACTTAAGCAAAACAACACAGAATCTATGGGACATAGCGAAAGCAGTCCTGAGAGGAAAGTTTATAGCATTACAGGCCTACCTCAAGAAACAAGAAAATTTTCTAATTGACTTTCTAACCCTACAACTTAAAGAACTAGAAAGTAAACAAAAAGAAAAACCCAGAGCTAGTAGGAGGAAGAAAATAGTAAAGGTCAGAGCAGAAACAAATGACATAGAGACTAAAAAAACAACTCAAAAGATCAATAAAACAAAAAGCTGTTTCTTTGAAAAAATAAATAAGATTGATGGACATTCAGTCAGACTCAACAAGAAACAAGAAGAGAGAAATCAAATAAACAAAATCAGAAATGAAAGAGAAGTAACAACTGACACCACAGAAATATAAAGGATCATCAAAACATACTATGAACAATTATACACCAACAAATTAGACAATCTAGGAGAAATGGACAAATTTCTGGAAATACACAGCCTCCCAAAACTGAGCCAGGAAGAGATAGAAAACTTGAACAGACCAATAACAACAAAGGAAATTGAAGATGTAATTAAGAAACCCCCAGCAAACAAAAACCCAGGCCCAGATGGCTTCACAAGGGAGTTTTACTGAACATTCAAAGAGGATCTAATACCCATTCTCCTCAAACTATTCCAAAAAGATCCCAGAAGACAGAACACTTTCAAACTCATTTTATGAGGCCAGCATAATCCTAATTCCAAAAATGAATAGAGACACTACAAAGAAAGAAAACTACAGGCCAATATTTTTGATGAACACAGATGCCAAAATCCATAACAGAATATTAGCAAATCGGATCCAGCAATACATCAAACAAAATTATTCATCATGGCCAAGTGGGTTTCATTACAGGCATGCAAAGATGGTACAATATTCGCAAATCAATAAATGTGATAAACAACACAAACAAAAGGAAAGATAAAAATCATATGGTCATATCAATAGATGTTGAAAAAGCATTCGAAAAAATCCAACACCCATTTCTGATAAAAATACTCAGCAAGGTGGGAGTTGAGGGATCATATCTCAACATAATAAAAGCCATATATGAAAAACCTACAGCCAAAATCATACTCAGTGGGCAAAAAATAGAAGCATTCCCCTTAAGAATGGGAACAAGACAGGGATGCACACTTTCACCACTCTTATTTAACATAGTACTGGAATTCTTAGCCACAGCAATTAGACATGAAGAAAAAATAAAGAATATCCAAATTGAAAAGAAGGAAATGAAACTGTCATTATTTGCAGATGACATAATATTGTACATAGAAACCTTAAAGACTCCATCAAAAATCTACTAGTGCCCTGGCTGGTTTGGCTCAGCAGTTAGAGCGTCGGCCTGCGATTCTGAGAGACCCGGGTTCGGTTCCCACTAAGGGCACGTACCTCAGTTGCAGTTTGTCCCTGGCCCTGGTTGAGTCGTGTGGGTGGCAGCCACTTGATGTGTCTCTTTCATGTCAATGTTTCTCTCTCTCTCTCTTCCTCTTTCTCCCTCCCACTCTATCTGAACAAACAAATGGAAAAATGTCCTCGGATGAAGATAAAAAAAGAAATCTACTAGAGCTAATAAATGAATTTGGAAAAGTAGGATACACAATTAATGTCAAGAAATTGACAGCATTCTTATATATCAATGAGGAAATCACAGAAAGAGAAACTAAAAAAACAATCCCATTTATCATCGTGGCAAAAAATTAAGATACCTAGGAATAAAATTAACCAAAAAAGTAAAGGACCTCTTCACAGAAAGCTACAGGTCATTAAAAAAAAAAAAAAATAGATCAAGATATAAAGAAGTGGAAGCATATACCTTGTTCATGAATTGCAAGAATTAACATCATTAAAATGTCCATACAACTTAAAGCAATCTACAGATTCAATGCAATCCCCATCAAAATACATATTTCACAAATGACATATTTCACAGAACTAGAACTAACACTCCAAAAGTTTATATGGAACTAAAAAAGGACCCCAAATAGCCACAGCAATCTTGAAAGAGAAGGGCAAAGTAGGAGGGATCACAATACCAGATTTTAGGTTATACTACAAACCCACTGTAATCAAAACAGCCTGGTACTGGCACAAGGACAGGCAGATAGATTAATGGAACAGAATAGAGAACCCAGAAATGGACCCAAGACAATATGCTCAATTAATATTTGACAAAGGTGGCAAGAGCATATAGTGGAGTAAAGACAGTCTCTTTAACAAATGGTGTTGGGAAAATTGGACAGCTACTTGCAAAACAATAAAGCTAAACCACCAACTTACACCATACACAAGAATAAATTCAAAATGGATAAAAGACTTAAATATAACTCATGAATCCATAAAAATTCTAGAAGAAAATGCGGGCAACAAAATTTCAGATATCATACGCAGCAGAATTTTCACTGATACATCACCTAAGGCAACAGAAACAAAGTTGAAAATGAACACATGGGACTACATCAAACTCAAAAGCTTCTAAGCACAGCAAAAGAAACAACCACCAAAATGGAAAGGCAACCCACTCTATGGGAAAGTATAACTGCCAACAATACATCAGATAAGGAGTTAATTTCCAAAATATATAAAGTGCTCATACAACTCAACAAAAGGAAGACAAAGAACCCAATTAAAAAATGGGCAGAGGACCTAAATAGGCACCTCTCCTAAAAGGACATACACGTGGCCAAGAGACGTATGAAGAAATGCTCAACATCACTAATCATCAGAGAGATGCAAATTAAAACAACTATGAGGTATCACCTCGCACCTGTCAGAATGGCCGCCATTAACAAATCATCAAATAATAAGTATTGGTGAGGGTGTGGAGAAAAGGGTACTCTAATACACTGCTGGTGGGAATGCAGACTGGTGAAGCCACTGTGGAAAACATTGTGGTGTTACCTCAGAAAGTTAAAAGTTGAACTTCCATTTGACCTGGTGATCCCACTTCTAGGAATATACCCTAAGAAACCTGAAACACCAATCAGAAAGAATATATTACCCCTATGTTCATAGCAGCACTATTTACAAGAGCTAAGACCTGGAAATAGCCCAAGTGTCCATCAGTAGGTGAGTGGATACAAAAGCTGTGGTACATGTACACAATGGAGTACTATGCAGCTGTAAGAAAGAAAAATCTCTTATCCTTCAAGATGACATGGAAGGACCTGGAGAGTATTATGCTAAGCAAAACAAGCCAAGCAGAGAAAGACAAACAGCACATGATCTCACATATTTGTGGAATGTAATGAACTAAACAAACTGATGAACAAAATTGACCTAGAGATATAGAGGTAGGGTACAGACTGACAACCCTCAGAGGAGGAGGGATTGCAGGGGGAAGATATAAACCACAGAACTTATATGTATGTATGCATAACCAATGGACAGAGACAACAAAGTTGGGAATGGGGCAGGGGAGATGGGGAGGAGGGTGTCAATGGGGAAAAAGGGAGAAACATCTGTAACAAAAACAAATTAATTAAAAAAAAAGAAAATCCATAGTTATGATGACCCTATCAATGGCCAAGCTTCATTGAACAATTTCTCATTCATTGCATATTCAATGTATTGGGTATTTATTTATTTATTTATTTATGTATTATCCTCACCCGAGGACTCCCCCCCCCCATTTTTGTTCAGATAGAGTGGGGGCAGGGTAGAAAAGAGAGAAACTTTGATGTGAAAGGGACACATAGAGTGGCTGCCTCCTGCATGACCCCAACCAGGGCCAGGAACGAATTGCAACTGGGGTATGTGCCCTTGGCTGGAATCAAACCTGTGACTCATCAGTCCATGGGCCGACACTCTAACCACTGAGCCAAACCAGCCAGGGCTAATGTATTGCATTTTTTAATTTTACTAATGACAAAGTTGGTGAACACAAACTATTGAAAGATTAAACAAAGACAATTTCAAAACAATGAAAGAGAATATGTCAATATTTGCATGATAGCAAATGAGAATTCAGCTTTACAAGAACATCAGTTATGAAATAGTCCAGCCTACAGCCAGGACATTCAATATTTGAATAGGAGTTAATTTCAGCTGTGCGGGGAAGTAACACGGTTTTTCATAACAAAAGCAGTGAGCTATTACATTAACATATTCTGGTGCTTGCCTGCATGTCATTGGTCATAGAATTAAAAAAAAAACAAAACACAAGAATTTAATACACAATCAAGATCAGCTGCAAATAGAACTTAAAGTCAGTATAGTAAAGGAATCACGACCAGTGATACTAGATTTGGCCTTTTTTTTTCTAGACATGATAAAGTTATTACCAAGCATTCTTTCCTTCCTTGAAATAGTGGAATTTGTTCTAGGATATTTTTCCAACAGCTTCATAGCACTGGTGAACTGCACTGACTGGGTCAAGAGACAAAAGCTGTCCTACACTGACCGAATTCTCACTGCTCTGGCGGTTTCCAGAATTATTTTGCTGTGGGTAACAGTATTCAATTGGTATGAAACTGTGTTTGATCCAGCTTTCTGTAATTCAGAATTAAGAGTTATTGTTCATATTGCCTGGGTAGTAAGCAACCATTTTAGCCTCTGGCTTGCTACTAGCCTCAGCATATTTTATTTGCTCAAGATAACTAATTTCTCCTGCTTTTCTTTCCTTCACCTAAAACGGAAAGCTAAAAGAGTGGTTGTCATGATGCTGTGGTGGTCTTTGGTCTTCTTGATTTGTCATCTTGCATTGGTAAGTGCAGATGAAAAAATGCAGATGAATGAATATGAAGGAAACGTCACTTGGGTAACCAACTTGAAGAACATTGTACATCTTGCACATGTGACTGTATTAACGTTTGTATACTTCATACCATTTACTATATCCTTGACAGCTTTTGTGCTGTTAATCTTCTCCCTGTGGAAACATCTCAAGAGGATGCAGATCAGTGGGAAAGGATCCCAAGATCCCAGCTCCAAGGTCCATGTAAGAGCCATGCAAACTGTGATCTCCTTTCTTTTGCTATTTGTCATTCACGTCCTGACTCAAATGATCAGAGTTTGGAGTTCTATTACTCTGCCAAACAATTCAGTTCTCATGCTTTTCCAGGTTCTTGGCATCTTGTATCCTTCAGGCCACTCACTGATCCTGATTTGGGAGAACAAGAAGCTGAGACTGGCCTTTCTGTCTTTTCTGTGGAAGCTGAGGTGCTGGATGAAAAAAAGGAAATAAGTGGACACCATGTGTCTTTCGGCAGAAAACAAACTAATGGTGATGAAATGTTCTGTCCTTCCTACTACATTTCTCAGGCATGCAATCTAATTTTACAAAATAGTGTAAGAACTTCCTCAGGATTATGACGCCATGAGTATCTCACAACATATTATACATTATGATCCCGAAAGTGAAGAACTAATAATCTATATTTATGCATTTTTAAGGACTGACAACTCATCTCAGGAAATCATCGCTATTTTTCATTGTAAGAAGTACCACCTACATGTACCACGGTGTGTTTATATTATTTTCTTGTACCTCCAACATTCTGGATGGTGAGGACTTTAGATTCTAAATCACACACTGAGGTTGTATGTTTGGGACAGATACTATTCCATCATGAATTTTTACTTCATGATTAATACAGAGCACTCAGAACTGTTGTTAACAAAAGCTGCATCTAATAAAACTAAAGAGTGACAGAATATATTTAAGTATATTTTACATACATGTACAATAAACAGTACTAAAGATTAGTAGATTTAAAATAAGTAGATGATGCCCTGGCCGGTTTGGCTCAGCGGTTAGAGCGTTGGCCTGCGGTCCGGAGAGACCCGGGTTCGGTTCCCGCTAAGGGCATGTACCTTGGTTGCAGTTTGTCCCCGGCCCTGGTTGGTCGTGCGGGTGGCAGCCATTCGATGTGTCCCTTTCACGTCGATGTTTCTCTCTCTCTCTCTCTTCCTCTCTCTCCCTCCCACTCTATCTGTACAAAAAATGGAAAAATGTCCTCAGGTGAGGATGAAAAAAAAAAAAAAAAGTAGATGAAAGCTTAGAATATAATCAAGTTCTACAATAGGGATGAAGAAGAAAGCAAAATGATCATGACATTTTTGTTGTTGTTATGGTTCCATGTAAAGTTCAGAAAGTCATTTCTTAGAGTTTTTTAATTCAGAAGCTGTTTTCTAAATTCAAAAACTGATGTCAATTTATTTAGTTCACTTTTACAGCATGTTTAGGGCTCTGAATTGGCAGTCATCTCCATCTTGTTACCTAAAAATTTCTTTTAAATTTCAGACTAAAAGTGTCAAATCTTCTCGATCTTAAATATATGCTCAACATAAGAAGAGTGTAAAATAGTGGTACATAAGTCAACAATTTTTCTATGTATATGAAAATTGTTATCTGTGAAATCTAAGTGATAATTATAAAAAAAGTCTTCAAGATCTGTTTGTATTATACTCTTCTGGAATACGATAAAATAGAAAATCTGTTGAAATAAATTTGATAGCAATTTCTATTATAAAAAGAAATATATAATCATGTTCAACTACTGAATTTATGTGTCTACACTAGTTTTTAGCATAATGAAATTTTAACAAAATTATGTATATGTTAAGATAAACATTTTCCACATCTGATTTATCATCTGTCTGCCCCATTAGAATACAAGCATTACAATGTGAGATGAAATCTATCCTGTTTCCTGCTTACTCCCCAAGACATAAAAGCCAGCTTATGGGATAGTTGGTCAAAATGACATACTAAAGACTAAATAATAGATGAATAAATGACATTAGGTCTGAAGAAACAATGGAAACAAACCCATCACAAAACCAGCAGGTGACATAGAGTTCCAGGTTCTGTTTCTTCATCATTTAAAAGCCTCTAAACAAATCCTCACATGCTCAGTTTCAATTAAGGCCTTTGGGTCAATAAACAGCTGTCATAAATGGACTCCAAAACATAAAGCAACTGATACATAAATTTTATATTGCTTTTTAAACAGTGCTGATGTGTCTGGGGAGCCTTCTATGCAATTATGCAGGGAGTCAGGCTGATCACAAGTATGCCTTTGGAAGCCATTGCCTTTCTCGACCATGGGAGAAGAAAGACATATGGAGGAGTATGTGAGGGAGATGTTTGGCGACAGCCCTGTAAATGGTGCACATAATTTTCACTCACAAAGCATTGATCAAATTTAGTTACATTTTGACACCAACGGCATTTTTTCATTAGATCCTTTCAGGTTTTGTTAAATAGCGCTGAAATTTCCCTACAACATGCTTTTAGGTAATTATATTTTCTTAAGGGTATATGACAGAATATTTTATTAGAAAAGTATCTCTGCTATAATAACACTTTATGGCAACAGGAAAGTATTTGAGACATGAAGAAGAATTGTTATAGCACTGTATATTGAAATACTGATAAATGTATAAAAATATAAAGTATAATATGAATAAGTGTACATAAAATTGCTGTCACAGAAAGAAAAGAGTATTGCAAATTTTTCTAATTAATGATAACTTTCAATAGAAAAAGAATTGTTAATTGTTAAGTAAAATCTAATTTATATAATTATAAAAGTGCTAATATTAGGTTGATGCCTCTAATGTTGGGAGGAATCTGAACAATGGGAATTTTCATACTATGTTTATTAGATTTTGAACTGGTAAAATAACTTTTTGCAAGAGTATGCCATTATGTTTTTAATTTGAGATGCACATCCTTAGACCCACTAATGATACTTCTGTATTTTATATTGGAGAATTTTTTGTATTTGTTTAAAAATATATATATGCAAAAATGTACATATTGCTAAGGAAAACATGCCCTAGCCCTGCAAGATATTGCCACCTAATTGGCACTGTAATGGAGTCTTTGAAAGGCCATTCTTCTATTCTGTCAAGCCAGCAACTTAAGGATGGTGGGGAAAGTGGTAAGATGAGTGAATTCTATGAGTATGGGCCCACTTCCACCTGTTCTTGCTGTGAAGTTGGTTCCTTCATCAGAAGCAATGTTGTATACAGTACCTTTATGGTAGATAAGACATTTGTAAGTGAATTCATGGCAATTTGGGCAAAAATATTACATTCAGGGAAAGCGAATCCATCTCCAGAGTAAACATCTATTCTAGTATGTCCAAATGTCTCCATTTTCATTGTGAAAACAGTCCAATGTAATCAACCTGCCACCAGGTAACTGGGTGATCACCCCTCAGAATGGTGCCGTATTTTAGACTCAGTGTTGGTGTCTGATACCGGCAGAGAGGGCATTCAGCAGTGACCACTTTCTTTCTGGCACCCATAGGGTGATGCCAGGGATGGTTGGGAAAAGACTGTATCCACAGATACAGGTCATCATGTCTAATTATTTATTAAACTTATTGTCTCTTTAAGTGACCCTTCTGAAACATTTACACAAGACACAAATATCCTCACAATTTTGTCCATTCAGAGAATTATGACTACACAACTCTTTCTCAAATTGCCTTGTCACTAATTTTTCAATAATGTTGCTTCCCAATTGCTGACCAACCAGCCAAACCATTGGACACATTCAATGAGACAATATGTAATTACACCTCTTTCCATTCCTCCTTCTAAGCAAAGATAAAGCCAGATATAACGGTCAGACTTCTGTCTACTAGGAGCATTTATGTTCCCACTGTTATTGGAAGCAGTCCCGGAAGGAGCTCCAGTGCTATAGCTGTCCACTTTGTATGGCACCTGCATGTTATGCAGAACCATGTGTAAACCAGACCCAAGTCTTCTCTTCTTCTGTCTACTGATTGTACGGAACTCTCCATAAGGCCAGAGATAAAGGCTCTGAAAAAGATAGTGTAGAAAAATTGGAAATCTGTAGTATTTGGGTCACTTATTCAGGTAACTTCCTAGTGCCATCAGGACCTTCTTGGGCCTGATCATGTATATACGACTTTCATTTGATGACTCTACATGACAATTATATGGTTCAGTGGGTTAGATACACTTAGTTCATAATGGGCAGCTCAGCTCACATTGTAACTTGGTGGCCTATGGTGGAAAGCGTTGTCTCTACTAAGGCCCAGTAGCAGGCTAAGAGCTGTTTTTCTAGCTGATGAGGAAGGCAGGCCTTTGCTCCAACATCCTAAGAAACTGCACTGTGATTCACCCATAAAGGCCTGCCTAAAAGTGAAAACGGCATACCTATCTCTCATGGATACTTCACACAAGAGACTATTGAATCTATTTTATTAATAGTCTCCAGAAGAAGGCAAGATTTAATACTCACACAATAAAAGGAAAGTTTATATTACTTGAATGCAGATATATAGAGAGCTTGCTGTTTTGATTGTACAACCTCAGCTTAGCACAGAATAAATATAGATAGCCAAAATTCACTAGTGGGGATCTGAATGATCACAATCCTTTCCAGAAGAAGCATGTTGTTACACAGACAAATAGACAAACACAAGACTAACAAACCATATTCTGGTGCATTTCTCACCAGAGAAGAGATTTTTTTCTACCAAATAGATAGACCAAAACCAAATTCCTGATTATCACCACTGTACTCATTTGCGATTGTTGAGCAACAGATCAGCACAAATTTAAAGGCTAAAACCAACACACATTTATTATTTCATTTATTGGGGTCAGGATCTTGGTAACGTTAAGCTTTGTTGTCTGCTTCAGGGTTATAGCAAGCGGCAATCACAGTTTTGATTACACTGAATTCTCATCTGCAGGCTTGACTGGAGGAGAATCTACTTCCAAGCCCATGCATATTGTGGACAGAATTCATTTTCTTGCAGCTCTCTCCATAACATGGCTGCTTACTCTTCAAGGCTAGCAAGAATCTCTCTCTCAGAGGAGGCTGAGCCCCATCTTTAAAGGTTTACCTGATTATGTCAGGCCCATGAAGAAAAATCTCTGCTTTAATTAACTCAAAATTATTTGGTAATGGAGAACAAATATACTATACTTTTATAAACCTACCCATATGAATAAAAATAAATGCTAGTTAAATACAGCCTGTTACTCTAATGTGATTTATTTCTCAAAAGTAGAGCCTTTTAGTATACTTTACATCTCAGCAGTTTCGGTTCTGATATGAACCTAAGGAGCAGCCATTGCTCAAAGCCTAGGCTGATGCCAACTGTCCACAGAGGTAAGTTCAACTGACAAAAACCAGATGGGCAACTCAAGGGTGCTGACCATGAATATGTATATATTGGGACTAGCAAGGCCACT